GTGTGTGTGTGTGTGTGTGTGTGTGTGTGTGTGTGTGTGTGTTCATGTGTGTGTGTGAGAGAGATTTTAAAAGTGCAGCTGTGACGGTACCTTCTGTTCATGGCTTACTGACAGACTCTGTAACCGAGCCGTCATCAGCGCCAAACTTTGCTCGAAGGCAGCAACCAGATTTGCCTAAACAAGAAAAAGAAAAAAGATTATTAGATTTTTTTTTCTCAGAGCATATCAACAAGTTAGAAAAAAGTCTGATGTATATGCAGAGACTAATGAACAAGTAAATTAACATTTTGAGAGAACAGATTCAGTAGATTTGCTGCTTTTTAACCATTGTACATGAGCTATTTAAAAGGCAAATCAAACACAAAAGTTGATCAGTGTAAAAACCTCTTCCCTATTCTCTTTCTCTGTCATTTTAGTGTAGGAGGGACAAATCTATACTTTTTATTCTAATATACCAAATAGAAAAGTGCAGTGATATAAACAAAAAATCCAGTCACTGATCATTAACATCCAATTTGTGTTTGCTGTGGGTTAATAATGTCATTAGGATGAAATTAAATGAAATCATAAAGAGATGATGTGTTCTTCCTAAAGCTTGTAGTTTGCAGCTGAACAAAGAAAAAAAATGCTGACAAGGTTCTAACACAGAAACAACCTTGTCAAGGGGAAATGAGCTGATTATTCAGCTCCTCTGTGATGAAAAGCCGCAGCTTTTATAATTCATTTGTTTGTACTGCCTTTCCAATGTTTTTTTCTTGCTCTATTTTACAGCTGAGAGAGTTTTCAGCTGGTTTTGTTTTCAGCTTTTTTCACACCAGGTTTGACATCATTAATTATATTAATAATCCATGACCTCACTCAGATCAAACTGTATTTAGTTTGGGGTTTTCAGTTGTCATTTTTCAGTTCCTAATTTTATGCTCAGGTTCAGTTTTCACATTGATATATATTTTTAACATGATCTATTATTTGCCAGTTGAAAATTTGTTCTCTGCATTTTTCCCATCACATGTGAGCACAGTGTGGAGCAGTGGGCTGCAATCTAAGACACCTGGGTTTCCTTGCAGCGTTGTATTATTTTTTTCATAGTTCATTGCTCTGAACTTTGTTCCTTCCCACTGTTTATCACACAACTGTAAGCCAATTTGGGGTAAATGTAATATAAAATGTTCATTTAGAAAAGCTAAATGAGTTTAGATTTGTCCTAAACTACAGAAAATGTGTTTTTTCTTGTTATTGCTGGGTATGGATTTGTGATTTAAATTATTTTTAAAATGACTTACAGATCTTCAATAAACTGGCAAACCTAGTTAGAAGTCTACAAGAGGAAAGTAAGGTCTGAAAGTGCTTTACAGACCCCCCCCCCCTCACACACACACACACACACAACACAACACAAGTTATTAACACAAGATAATACATACATTTGCTGTCAGCTGTGTTGTCAGATTGGACACTTTCTCCTGCGAGGATTCCAGCTCTCTCCTCAACATGCGGATTTGCTGTGGGGAAAAAATTAATCTTGCATTAGGTTTTATCAAAACATTACGTTGTCTGAAAATGGCTGATGATGTTACAAATACGATGATGGCGGTTATAAAATGAAAAACCAACTCCCAAAGACACCAAGGATGAGACTGATGGATAAAAGGAAGAAAAAAAAAGACAAAACAGTGAGGAAGACAGGGCTGCAAAAGAAACACTTACCTCCCCCTGAATCCTTTCCTCAGCCTTGGGGGAAAAGAGGATTAAAAGCCAAGATGTTAAATAAGACAGAGGAGAGAGGCGGAAAGAAGAGGAGACTAATAAGGTGTGGGGCTTAAGTGTGTGCTGCTTAAAGTGTGAAACAAGAGAAAAGCATCCCTGAATACACACACACACATCCAGCTTTCAGTACGCAAACTCATCTATATCTACCTGTTTCTGCGTGCTGCTCACACTCACCGAAGAGTAGCTTGATGAGGCATTGGATGCCAGGGAGAGAACAGACCCATGAACTGGAGAGAGAAGATCCAGACAAACTCAATTAAAAAACTGCTGCAGTTAAAAACAGACAGGATGATCTTTAGAGGATAAATAATTAAAAAAAATAATAAATTGAGTGTTTCACCTTCATCATTGGACTCTCTATCCCTAAAGGATCCAGACCGAACCATTCCCATGCTGCGTGGACGCTCAGCCAACGATAAAGTGCTGCCCAGCGGCGATGCGCCGTACAGCTCCATGGAGGCCTCATGCGTCGGGATGCTGTTGGACCGAATCATCCTGGGAGGTCCGCCTATCGGGCTTGGGACTGATAGAACATCAGAGTTACCAACAAATACGGGTCAAACATTAATTATTATGGCGACTACTCTCCTAACTGTGTGTGTGTGCATGTGTGCAGAGATACACACCCATTGTGGTTTTAGAGGTGCGGGGCAGGGAGGTGGGTGAGGAAAGCAGAGGAAGGGTGAGCGAGTCGGTCATGCTGACGACCATATGCGAGTGTCTCCTCTCTCCTTTCTCCTTCCCTTCTTCCTCTGTTTGCGAGGCGCTGTTGAAACTATGGAGACAGTGGACAAAGTCATGTTTCGTTGATTACGACGTGATCCAATTGGTCCTGTTCAGACCTGACTCAACGGTCTGTCTTTGATGATTTGATGGCAAGGGGTCAGCTCTGCTTGCGAGTGCTCACACCTGGCAGTTAAATGCCAAAGACCCCCAAAATGTGTCGGTGAATGGATGCCAAATACACACGCAGTCACGTCACGCTGCGTGTTGTGCGATGGAGCATCTGAACTGGGATTATTTTGGCCATCACACAGTTCAGAGTCATTTGAGTTGCATTTTTGAAGAGTTGTGGTAGACAGCAGAGGTGCTTTCAAAATGCAAATCAATTGCTCAGGATGGATTATAGTGCCAAGTCTGAATAGGATCATAGTGTCTTTACAGAAAACATGTCTGTTAACAATCCCACTAAGAATTAAATATGTTATCTTTGCATGTAATTGTATCAGGATTCCAATCTGTACAATTATTCTTATGCCAGCCAGATCAATAATTATGTACAGAATCCTCTACTACTACTACAACAAACCAAGTTTCAAAACATGTGTTTAATTCTGTGCCTGTGTGTGTGCGCACTCACGTACCTTAAACCTTTCTTTGGCAGTGTGTTCCTGTCTCTCTGAGAACTGTGAAAATTAAACATTGTCGTTATTTAGGCACTAGGGCAGGGAGTCATTAACTTTTCACGAACAGGCAGTAGGCACAAAGAGGCACAGTAAAACTGACAGCTAGTTGGTGTCAGGCAGTAATTATGACTTCAGTCGGAGGGGCCGGTACAATACTGATAACAGACCCATCGTAATAACAGCTCAGCAACCCGTTAATATGTCTGCATATGTGTGTGCGTGGACGAGTCTTTCCTACAATGTGGGGACATTTTTCCCAAAAAAGCAGCCTCGTGGGGACCAAAGTGCATCGTGGGGACTGAGAGTTGTTCCYCATGGGTTCAAATGCAAATTATGGTGGGGGGTTAGGTTTAGGTTAGTTTTGGAAAGAAAGAAAGTTCATTTAAACGTGACTGTAATGAGCTTGCTAGTATTTTAACCATTACTGAACTAAAAATAAATATGCAGTTCCCCAGCTGACCAGAGGGTGGTGCTATATGGCAGCTTTGTAAGAACATCTGAGAGCTTTATCTGTCAAAGCTATTGATCAAATTTCTTCAGAACTGAACTGACCTGTCCGTGAGACTCAATGAGACTTTGTTTGCAGAACTCAAGTTGGATGGAGGGCCTCTGTCCTGCTGTTGATCTTTTTCTTGGGACTCTAAAGTGGTGTAGCCTCTCACCAAAGACTCTCTTCCTCCGTCCTTGTCTTTCTCCTGGGATTCAGGTACCAGACTCATCTGTAATTGCAGAGATTCCATGCTGCGATGCAGTCCAGAAACGCGTGGGCAGAGAAGAGGAGACATGCTCCCTTTGCTCTTTTCAACCCCAAGGGAAGTGACTTGCCTCGGTCCCAGTCCAATTCCAGAGCCAGAAAAGCAGGCTGAGGAGTTCACGTTCAGTAAAGGTGCAGGACTTGGGACCAGGCAAGAGCTGGCTGAGTTTCCTCCAGAGCCACAAAGCTCTTGGAGCTTGGAGTAGGGAGGAATCTTTGGAGGCAGGCCATCCTGAACCTCGACATCCAGGCTGTTGGAGTTCAGCTTGTCCAGTTGGGCCATAGATGAAGGCTTTGCCAGGCTGCGGACCCCAGACAACCTGAAGAAACACAAACATGATGTTGTAACAAATGTCCAATGATAATTTACTGTGCATATCAAGCTGTAAGTGGGTTTTCAATACCTCTGCATGCCAGGTGAGGTCAGATCCGTACACTTGCCACTGCTGGGTGGTCTCAGCCCATGCAGCTTTCCTCCGTTTTCTGTGGGGTGCTGAGCAGAACTCCCCTTCAGAGACCCAGTGCCACACTCTGAGTCCGAGACTACAGCTTTAGCTTTGGCTCTTTCTTTCTCCTTCTCTCGGTCTGTTTGATTGACAGGACTGGGACTTGGGATCCCACGTCCTCCTGTCTTACCAGAACCAAGTCCTGAGGAAGAGGGCTCCTTAAGCCTTGAACCCTGTGGTGCTGTGGCGGAAGGTTTGGTCAGCCCCGTTCCTGTGTCCATGGTGGTGCTCACTGGACGAGCTGAGCTTGGCCGGGTTAGAGTCAGGGTGTTCGTCTTGGATGGGCGGGGCAGAGAGCGGTACTGGAGAGACGTCCTGGCAGTCGCAGACAGGAACCCACTTTGGTCACTGCTTGAAACATCTAAACTCGTCTTACGTCCTCCTGCACCTGCACACGGCTTAACGGGAATGCCAGATGTTTTGGGGATCTTACCCACAGCCACTGCGCTGTTTGGCATGGAGCATGTACTTGCAGCACTGGGCGTACTGGAAATGTTTGCACCATTACTGGTAGTTGTGGGGGGTTTCTTGAAGCCAAAGTTTCCACCAGCTGAAGGTCGGACCAGTCCAGATGGAGGTTTACGCTGCTCTCCAGTTCCARTGCCATTTTGATTGTCTTTACCTGCATCAGAGGAGGAGCGCTGTAGTCCAGAATTCTTCACCGCTAATCTGGATTTATCCATGGGCTTCACATCTGACTTCATGGAACCTACAAGAGAAAACAATTCTTCTGAACTTGAACAACATTTAAGCAGTGCTGGAAAAAGACTAAGACCAACTGAACCACATTAGGACATATCTAATCTGAACACCTACGAGGTCTGACTGTCTGTTGATAAAAGCCGGTCTCCTACTCAGCAGACAGTTAGGCCATTTTTACAGTCACACTGTTATCACACTGTTACTCCTCTTTTCCACCCAGATGAGCTAAAACTGTTGTCTCTTTCCATTAAGTGTTTAGGATTCCCAGTAAATTAATTCTGTAAGTTCCAGCTGTGGAAGAACGAGATGACCATGGGTGCGGAAAGGCAACAAAACCTGCATAAAAACTCAAATTTCTCCACTTGTGAAGGCTCTTTTGATAAATAAGGCATTGGAAGAGATATCTTGTTGAAATGAAAGCAATTACTTTCTATTTCTTACCATTTTCCAACTTAAAAATTAATTAGACTTGTTTGAAAGTTACTAACAGAATAACAATCTATTAGACACATATGCTCTCTCGTGAATGTACCACTCACACGAGTCTAAACTGCCAACCCTCATAATTTGTATTTAATGGGACTTATTATGTGAGGTTTATATACAAGGCATTAACAGAGTCTAAGAACTGCTGTTGCATGAGACCCACCGGCGTGCTGCCTGGGGACATCTGGAGTTACTTACAAGTATTTAGAAATCCGCAAAAGACGCATACACACTCGAATGTGCAGAAATTTCTACCACACGCTCAGAGCTCTTGGGCTTCAGACCCCCATGCGAACATGACACTGACAGCAAATTACCCTCAGAGCTTTTTTTGTCGATTCGAAAATTGAGTTTATATGTCGAGTCGTAAACTTGTGTAGCCACAACGCCGTTCATTCCAGGAACATTAGATTGAAGAAATACACTGTTGGTGGCGAGTCACACAGACAGAGCTCCACTAAGTGTATGTGTCTGGATTTTTTTTTTAATGTAGCTGATTCACTGAGAGCAGCAACGGAGACAACTGAGCTCAAAACCTTACACGGCGACACACGTGGAAAAGATTGTGAGTCACTACATGTCCTAATCCAAAACTATAAAGTAACATTCAGACAGAATAGACAGGAGAATTAATCATTTTCCTGACATTTTCAATACTGCTATGTTTAAATGTTAAAGTAAAATGAACTGACAGTGTGAGTATATCTTCTATGGCTATATTTATGTAGGGTGACCATAGTAGAATGAAAAGCAGTTGAATCAGGATGTATTTTTAGTCTGAAAATTCACAAATAAAAAGGCATGTTTACAATACATTTACAAAGGTTATTTGTATTTGAAAAGGTATGGTAGCTCATTTTTGGCCAAAGTTTGATTTAGTATTTGGAGATGTGTGCATCTGTCAGAAGAAACGCTGACCAGTCAGCAGCTTAGCAGCTTAACAGCGACATAGTGTTAAAATGTACATGTCTGCACTGCGCTCACACTAAAATACTGTCATAACCCAACAAAAGGTCAGCTGATAACGTCATGCTAAAAAAAAAGAATTATTCTTTCAAAAAACAGAACTGTTAACTAGTTTGCTGTGCCATTGTGCCCAGTGGACACAGAGAAATGAGCTAATAAAAAGATAATAAATAAAACTAAATGAAAAACTAATTTAAATGTGGTTCAAGGCTATAGACACATCTTATAAAACACCCAACGTCTTTTAAAAACCTCAGTTTTTACTTGTTATATTTATTTAATCAAGAACATCTACAGTTTGTTTTTTACACATGAAAAATGTCTGTTTAGTATATTTATAATTTGTTTTATTCTAGTAAATTTAAAGAACAATGATCCAACCAAATAAACTAGGCAATATCACATTCCCAGACTTTCAGAAAGTCATTGGCAATAAATAAACGATGCTTTCATTGTTAAAAATTGTAAGCAAATAAATAAATAGCACAGCTGGCATGAACTAAATTTGCCATATCAAACACACTCTTTGAAGTGTGGGGTTGCGTTGCAGTGATTGTTTGCTCCTGAAATGACTTCACACCATGTTTCTCCACAAACATGCAGACATTTTACCAAATGACAGACTGAGAGAAACAAAACATGCTGCCAAACCTCCGTGATAAACTAAACTCAGACATGAGCAGTAAACTCTCTCTGTTCCTCACGTTTCCTTTTCCAGACTTTACTTTTCAGACGTTTTAGTGGATGTTTTGCTCTATTTCTACTTTCTAAAAGTGAATAAATTCATAATAGATATTTATGCAGTGGATTGTTTTCATTTGTAAACTGCATACATTAAAAAGCACAAACTAAAAAATACAAAACAATAGAACAGGGCTATTCAACTAAATTGCTCCGGGGGCCACAGTTACTGCCGGTCAACAGCTGAGGGGCAGAATATCCAGCAATTAATGTTATTATGTAAATAAACCAAGTATTACAAAGATATGTTACCTTTGAATTAGTTTATTTTGCTGCATTTAATCATGAATACAACATACAGAACCCTATAAAAGTAGTGATAATTACACATTATCAAAAATAAAAAGAACACATTAGGCCTCAAAAAAGAAAAAAATGTATAGGTCTTCTGGACGGGTTCTTCTCTAATGAAATGTTTTGTCTCTCCTCCAAGAGACTTCTTCAGTCTGAGAGTTTCGTTTCATTAGAGAAGAACCCGTCCAGAAGACCTATACAATTTTTTTCTTTTTGATTTTTTACCTGGATTACTGAGATGCATCAGGACACATTAGGCCTCCTATTATTAGACACAAATAATATTTTGACATCTCTGACTTAGCAAATTTTTATACCAATTTTATTTTCACTTTCATCATTTTATCTTCAACTGCTTGTGGTTTTAACTGGCTTGAGCATTTATAGAAATGGCTTTTACCAGCTTGTAGCCAAGATTCTGACCTTTCTGTTAATACCAAACATGTCTATGTTTAATGTAATGGAACTAATACCTTTATGTTTAAGCTAGTAATTCATGACTTCCTTTAATGACCTAGGTTTTCATCCTGCCGACAACGCCAAAATTGTGGTGGCACGATTTACCAAGAATGCAGAAACACGTTGGAATAAATGTACAGAAAGTCTACGTGTATGGTCGTCAAATGATTTAATTTGAGTAACAGCAGAGCAGAAGTTAATCAGAGAAGTCTGTCAAGTTGTGGCTGGCTCGTCAGCGCAGAGCAGCCGATAATATAACATCCTGTGACATGCTTACAACCAATCACAGTTCGCCAACTGTGAACCATCTAACCTGTCAGCCCGGAAACACCTTATCAAAATAAAAGAGGTCATGCATTGCTGGAGTCTTGAAGTCTGGGCCGATAGATTAAAACAGCCGAAACTAGTTATCATCAGATATGATTACTGGACAGTATCAAGGTAGAACAGATATACATAATTATTCCATAACGATCAACTAAAAGAACTTAGAGTAATTAAAGTAGAAAACYGGGGGTTTGGGCTTAAGAGATGAATAAACCAATTGGCGGGCTGAACTTTGGTCACTCGCGGGCCGGATGTGGCCCGCGGGTAGCCAGTTGAATAGACCTGCAATAGGAGATGATGCCTATAAAACACACAAATTTCACTTTTTATTACTTTTTCCATCACCTGAGCAATGTCCATTCCTGAAACTCTGAGCGGTGTATTAGCATGCTTGTGTCTGAATGTCAAAAACTATGACCGTTGTTTCTAAATGTTGTATATGGAGCAAAAGCTGACCTATAATGACTACAGTCTGTCCGTCTTTAAAAAAAGGTACGCATCACACACTATCAAATTAAACATAAAAAGACTATCATGAACATGTCAAATTGTAATTGTAGAAAAAGTTCACTCCAGTAATCTTCCAGATGAGTTGAAATTGCTGGTATGCGCTCAGTGTAAACTAAATAAATAAATTAAAATCCCTTGACTTGTGATTGAGCCACATTAGGCTGGCGAGTGTTGACAGAGTCAGACAGGAATATAATCTCAAACAAGATGTTTCAATATAAAAGTGAATCTGCTGCTAACTGTGGAGAAAAATAGAGAAAAAAATAAATAGAGGATAATTCTCAGATTTCTATCTTTTACATAAAGTGATGGGGCACAGTCTGAAAGTCAATATTTTCCAATATCCAAACTCATGAGCTTCTCCGCACTCATGAAGAACTAAAACAACATATTCAATTCTATTTTCACCTCATCTTTTGTTTAATCACAGTCTCAAACTGGGTGGCAGACCAGGCAGCCACGATGGCTGAGTCCCACTGGTGAAATTATTAACAATAATAAAACCCTGGCTCGTAGATCACAGGCTGGTGCAGCACACTTGCTGGGCACATCTATCATTTCAACAGCTGGCGGTGCAAACACAGAACAGCCCCCACAGAAACACAACTGTTTGCACAGGGTCTCACTATCTGAACTGGCACACAGCATTATTACTTATATCCTGTTGTTTCACTTGTCTGTATGTGTGTGTGTGTGTGTGTGTGTGTGTGTGTGTGTGTGTGTGNATATCCTGTTGTTTCACTTGTCTGTATGTGTGTGTGTGTGTGTGTGTGTGTGTGTGTGTGTGTGTGCGTGAGTGTGTGTGTGCTTATGTAAATGGCACACAGGCGTTGTGTTTTTAAAGGCAGCTGCACAATCCTAACCATTATGTGGCTTGTGTGTGATAGAGTGTGTGTTAAGAGCAATGGGTGAAACTTTTCGAAGCTGCCATGATCTCAGCTGAATCTGTACACAGAAACACACAGATCAGTCTGAAAAGCCTTTATTTGAGGGCAAGAAATTCTCTCTGTTCAGAACCAAAAATACAATTTGGATGGTAGGGGATGTGAGGATAAAAAAACAACAACACACAGACACAGTTTGAGTGTGTGTATGTGTGTGGTTGGCTGGCAGGAAGAGCRTGGGTTGTGATGGGCATTTACATGGCGCTGCTTTCTACAAAACCCAGAGGGTGGGCTGCAGCTGTGGACGAACAAGTCCGACAAAGACAGAGAGTGTGTCTGTAACTGTGTGGGTGTGAGGCAGCCAGAAAGAAGCGGGAGATTCACAGCCAGCCTGAGAAATCTGTCAGTTTGTTCCAGTTATCAAACCATGTCAAGAGTAGCTATTACACATGCCCATTTGTGTGTTTGTTACGCCACTCACCAGCCAYTTTCAGCCCACTCTGAGAGGTGTGCGTGATCGGAGATGTGACTCCCACAGGTGGGTTTCTTCCTTTCTTCAACCCGTTCCCCTGACCCAGAGTCTGTGGTTTCTTCAGCTCACCCTTCACTCCTTTCCATTTATTGGCAGATTCCGACTTCAGACTTCCTGTGTCGTAGGCGCTGCTGCTTTGGCTCTTGCTGCCCGTTTTGTTGTCATCGGAATCCCAGGACAGACCGCTCTCCACTAGAGATCTCTTCTCTGCATCGGTGCGCATCTACAGAGAGAAAAACAGATTTTATTTTTTAAGGAATGGTTATTTCTTTTGTATGCAGAAAATTTGTCTGAAATTAAACGATATCCCATCTGTGCATTTTGGTTCAATCTTACAAGAAAAYGTTTGGTAACTTTTTGCAAAAAAAATGCCTAAATCTAATGTTCTCAGTGTTTTTTATCGATGACTGATTAAAATGAGATTTTCTTCGCCTTGCCCTTGGTTACATACATGGCAACATAATTCTTGAAGATGAACCAAATGTTTCTTGAGGACACAATATCATTGACCTTTAACCTTAAGCTTCTCTGAGATAGACATTCTCTCGAGTCATTAAAACGATGCTGATTGAAAATGTGCTCAACGGACAAACTTCAAACACAAAACGCATCGGTCTGTGAGGATTAAAAGGGCTCATTAAATGAGACGTGCGGACCCAGACTGACCCGCAGGTTCTTTTTGATGCCTTCGGACCAGACGAACACGTCCCACTCAGTCAATCCAACAACACACTCATTCCAATTACTATCATGTTTAAGTGGACTGAACCAACTGCACAAACAAAACTGCATGATTCACAAACACTGCGAACGACCACATGGTTTGGAATAAGACACAAAGTGTGACACACACTTGACCAAGACAGGAAAAGCAGACAACACAGTCTAAACACTAAAGGAAAAATTTGAAAAGAAATAAACAGGAGGAAGTATAACTGCTAAGTCATCTATCAGGTTAGCCAAGATTTCTATAAGTTTGTGTGTGTAGGGGTTTACTGGTTACACTATGCATAAAACTGTGTGAATACGACACTGGGCTTATGTCTCTGTGTGTTTATTTGCACCCAGATATTCCCACGAGTCTTTTTCTATCATCTGAATTCTTTTTTTTTTAAATGAAAACCAATTTAGCCCACAGGCAGGTTCACATCACCTGAGGCAGAGGTTTGTAAGCATATTTTATTGTATTGTGTGACCGTTTGACCTCGATGTGCTGATGAAACACTGTCCTTTCCTCACACACGTCATGTGATTATTGAAACAGATGGGAGATAACGTTTGGACAGATCACAAGGGAAAATGTAATAACAGAGATATAGATAGGAGCGTGGCACAGACTGCACTGTGTGAGCTCCACCTACAGAAAGGAAAGCACCGGGTTTGTCCACAGCCAATGCTGCAACTAATACCTCTTTTCTTCCATTATCGTTCACCTCCAGCCCACATCGGTTTTTAATATGATAGGCSGAGGAGGTGAGAGACAGGTGAAAAGTCAGAGCTGCCTTTGAGGATATTAAAAYAACAAAAGCAAACAGGAAACAGTGGAGAGATGCTGCAGTAAAAKAAAAAAAGAACAGGACAGGAGACGGCTGGGGCAAAGGTCAGACAGAAAAATACCAGCTGAGCATGGATGTAAGACCAGGAGCCATGTCTATGTTAGACTTCAAGGGGTGCACAGTGCTACGATGCTTGGTTACCATGGTAACAAYGCCATGGGGGTGGGGTCTAATGGTTGCTATGACTCCTGCATTTAGTTGTGGTGGGAGGTTCCTTGGCTGGCCTGGTTGCAGGACTGCAGATGGCTCCGTGACTCTGCATGTATGTGTGTGTTTTGCATGAGTGTGTGTGTGTGCAGATGGCCACCCTTTGGACCTGTCCCTCAGTATAAGTAAAAAAAAAACAACAACAAAGACTCACACCCTCAGCATCCTGGTGCTTAGGTTGCTATGGTTACACCCATCTCTCTACCTCCCTCAGTCTATCACCGTTCCTCCGCCTCCAGAATCCCTCTCTCTGTGTAGACGCATGTACAGCACACTGCGGAGGTGTGACCTGAATCAGACACGCTAAGAAAACTAAAGTAGCTGCAGATGGTTCAGAGCGTCGAGCAGAGCTGTGAGAGCCATGCTGGAACGCACAAAGGTCGTGAACTTAAATCCTTTAATCCCACTGTCAAAGCTTATGTCTGGGACCAYAACATAAGAACAAATAGTGTCAAGGTTTGTTTTAATTGAAGCCAATCAGGGCGAATGATATAGTGTRTAGAATGCTAAAGAGGACCAACAATGATGATTATAGCTCCTCTAGTTTTCCGCTTAAATCCATGATGCAGTTTTTGAGGGAACCTCTTGGAAAAATGCAACTACCCAGCATGCAGTGTGTTCCAAAATTGATCACTGCAGATGTGATAAATCTCACAGGCCCGTGTAGACTACTTCGTCAGCCATCCTCCTGCCTGTTGTTTGAGTCAACACATCATTTAGATCCTTATCACGACCTCACCGGACTAAAAAGCACAATCGATAACCAACGAACGCACTTCTTCTTATCCGTCTGTGTCAGATAGCTTGTGCTTGAGCGAGCCTGTTGGTTTAACAGCGTGGGCTTCTTACCACGATGGATGAGTTTCTGCGAGAGCCAACAGGAGTTGTGGGGAGGGAGTTGAGCGTGGGGCTCGTGTTGAACTCCTCGGAGCTCAGGTTGTCTGAACCGTCACTCAGTCCACTGCTGATGGAACTGCTCTCGTCCCAGCTGAAAGAAACCAGGACAAAGGACAGAAATCAGACAATGTTCATGTCTTATAGCAGCAACATTCATGAGCCTTAATAGTGTGGAGCATTCAGAGAAAATACCATCTTTTTAAAAATGCAATTTTTTTTAAATAAAATATCAGTTGTTTAGCTCTAGGGCTGGGCAATACGGCCCAAAAAAATCTTAGATTGTTTTCTTCCCAAATTCGATTTTCGATTTTTATCAATTTTGTTTCCAATTTAACGGAGTGTCTCTGTTTCTGGTATTGAACAAATTTGTTGTACTCMTGTTTCTTGTAGCAAGAGCCTTCACACAGATTTTGCAGTGAGGTCTTTGTTGCTCCAAGCCTGAGATTACGAAACCTAACCAATTCCAGATAACTGAAGAAACAGTGCCTTTTTTGAGAAGTAGGTCCTCTTTGCTAGCTGCCATATTTTCATGTTGTGTACCATGCACCTTGAGGGACAGGTGGGGTGACCTCTGAACTGCAGAAGCCCCAAAATACTGGTGGGAAAAAAAATCTCGATTTTCCCAAAATTAAATCTTTGTAAATAGTTCATTCGAATTAATCAATTAAATCGATTTATCGCCCAACCCTGTTTAGAACCAAGTGGAAAACAGAGGCAAACTACTCTGTTTTGATGCACAGAACTTGAGTTCTGACATTTTTTTTGAAGTCCTGGAAGCATCAAACAACCACTTTTAGAAAAAAAATTAAATATTTAATGCTCCAAGGCTGCACAAATGCTTTGTGTCCTTCCCTGCAGATATTAACTGTAAAATGATATATACACTAAAAACATGCAATCGATTTGAGTTCATCGCCTCATCACCTTCTACTCCATAAAGGCGGCTCGCCTGGCTCTGTGTCTTCCAGTTTGTCTTTTGATGAAATATTCAGAGACCTCATTTAGAACCCTCTCTGTTCTAGATACCAAACTTTCACACAGCATTAGCAACCGGCAGCCTGAAATTGGGAGCACTGTTGAGACCATCTCAACCCCCACGCTCACAAAAATAGTACAGAAGAACACACACTGATGCATCGAGCAGCAATGTTTCACCATTTACTTTTTCACACTTTTTTTTCCTGAGAGAAACTGGATCAAGTCTCCTGTAGATAGAGGACCGCTTATTCCTGCTCAGATATGGCCAAGTTTAGAGAGAATGCTGTTCTGTATAAAGTAAGGGAGTTATTGAATAATAAAGCACTTAATATGTTGTAGATGCAATAATAGGTCCACACTTGGTTTATTGTATTGAAGTCTGGGGGAAAGCGTGTTGGACAATTACAAATCCTGTTTTTTTTAATTACAGAAAAGAGCTGTGAGAATTATTACTGGAAAACATTGTCGTCACCCATCAAATTCATTATTTTGTAAATTGAAAATATTGAAGTTCTTTGATTCAGTTGATTATAATATCCTACTGGTCATGTATAAGCCCCTCAAAAACACATTACCTTTAAACATCCAAGTAAAATTTGTTAAGAGAAAGAG